TCGCCGCCTTGGCCAGCAGACAGGAGCTGACACCCCAGGGCCCGGGCGCCCTCGGACGAGGCGGGGGCCCAGGTAGGAGCCGCGTGCCCCTCCCCCGGTGGGAGGCGATGCTGAAGTTGGGAATTTGCTGGGCAGTCTTGGCACCCGGGCTGCCCCCACCCCAGCCCCGGGAAGCAGAATCCCTTCGCTCGGGCGCCTTCCCTTTGACTTCCCTCCTCCCCTTCACATAGAGATGGTACAGGCTCCCCGAGCTCTGGCCCCCCGGGATGCACAGTCAGGCGCCCGACGGGCAGGTCTTCCAGCGGTCCTAACACCAAGTGATGGAGCCGAGCCTCCCGAATGGGGCGGCGGGGACTGCAGACGCCCCTAATGCAGATGTTTTCAATACGTAATTAATTCACACTCGTGCATATGCACACGGACACCCTGCAAGCCGAGGCTGCCAGGAAAACTACATTCCGGTAAACACGCACAAACCCAAACTGAAATAAACAAGCAGACATACGGATAATTGCTTCAGGGTCTCTGGTGCATGACAAGTACCAAGGGTTGTGAATATCTCTAGAGAGACCCGGATTTCCTATGCCCATTTAGATATTGCCCCTCATAAATCACACGCTATTCTCCCCAGCTCCCACCTGTCCACCCTCCCTCCTCCATCCTTCCATTCAGGCTCCATAAAGTACTTGGAATCTTATCTCTCTGCGGAACCAACCGTTTCCCTGACTTTACTGACACAGTTAAGAATGATTGGCCACCTAACTATCTAACGATGTTTAGGGAGGGTCAAGGAGGAGTAACGATGTCTTTCAGTATTATGCAATGAACAAGCATTTGCCTTTCAAGATAAATAAAATTTTTATAGAGACTTGGCTACTCCTGCAATAGACTCGGAGTTTAATGTTATGCTTAGGTCTCGGAAAGGTCCTCTGTAAACAGTATCGTGCGTTCAATGCGTAATTAGCATGGTGGTAATGGGCCTGATTCAGCATTCGTTATTAGATCTTTGTTTCTTATTGATTTAAAGGGATATGTTCTAGAAATAACTGCAGATTGGGTACAATCTGGAAAATGAAGAAACACACACAGAGGTGACTAACAGGAAACACTACATCCTCATATTATACAACTCGCTTCTTATAAAATAATAAACACATTCCTGTGGGTTATTGAATATCCCCCTTAAAAAAAATTCGAATACCCACAGATTATCAAAAGTCAATGAACACTTTCCAAAGCCCTCTGGTAGATAACTGCCATCAACAATTTGTAAGACCTCAAAGAAACCAGTCATTGGAATAAAAAATATTTTGAGGTAGCACAACTTTTCAGAAGTCAATCCTTTAACTATGTCTGTTTCTAAGCATTGCAGTAAACTCCACTAATGTGGCACTAAAGTGTTTTTTTTAATAGAAAAATAAAGGAGGAAACAATGGAAAGTATTACTATTTCAGTATCACAATGGATGCTATTCAATTGATATCTCAAGCAGGTTTGAAATGATTTTGTTTCTTAGGGTACTAAGCAACAGGAGCCTGCAATACTTATTATTTCATCATTCTGTAACAGAAAATGACATGCCTGAAGGTGTGTTTTTTGTTGTTGTTGTTTTCCCTCCAAAAAGCATTCTGACCACTTTGTAAACATTTCTCTTAATGAGTAAAAACAAACAAAAACAAACCTGGTTATAGCCACACATTTGTAACCAGCCTGTAACAACACTATGCTACATAGGATGGTCTTACTTCATGCTATGTGCCCTGAGAACTGGCCTTCATCTGTTTTTCAGTGCTTTTTGCCAGGTTTGAAAGTTAATTATGTCATACTAGAGGCCTGGTGCATGAAATTTCTGCACAGGTAGGGTGCCTAGGCCTGGCCAGCGATCAGGGCCGATCTGTGGGGCAACCGGAGGGGCAATCGGGGGGCCCCCTCTGGCACCTGCCTTGGCTGGCCTGGGGCCTGCAGGCTAGAGGCAGCTCCTGTGTTGAGTGTCTGCCCCCTGGTGGTCAGTGCGCATCATAGCGACTGGTCATTCTGCCAGTCTTCTCTCATTCAGTCAATTTGCATATTAGGCTTTTATTGTATAGGATTCTTTGTACTGTTATTACCTTTGCTTCAAATTTGTGTTCATTGGATATGGACATTCGGATTCACAAATGCTTAAAGAAATAGGGTTTTAATAGCTTCTGCATCTGCTATTTCTTAAATACTAATGCTACATTCTCCCTATCCAATTCACCATTTTCATCATTAGACATTAAATTTAATAAGCACCTTTTTAAAAAAAATTTCACTTATAACTCTAACTATTAGTGAGAAGATAGGAACTACGAAGCCTATTTGACCTGGCCAACTATTAAGGCCCTGTAAAACTGACAAGACAATCTATGGAGTCACAATAGTTCCACTAGATCTCCATTGGGTATGGTAAACATGGGCTGTCTTGTTCCAGAGAGTGAATTCATTATATGTGCATTACATTATATTTGCAAATAACTGAAGACAGCATATGATGATCTGAGAAATGTTTCTTTAGTTGGATATAAGGTCAGTCAAAGCTTGAGAATTGTAAAACAAAGTGAACCATGGCCCACACAGAGAAAACAAAAGCATGGTGGGGAGAGAGGATGGGCAAGTTGAATGTTAACATGACCTCATAATTGGAGTAAGTGATTGCTTCGCCATCAATATATTCATCATTCATATATATCTTCAATATTTGTTGACTGTAGACTATTAATGAGCTGGGCATTGTGCTAGATACTGGGTTTATATCTCTGAGAAGACAGACAACCCCTTTAACCTCAGAGTTGGGGGCTAATAGTTGAATAAAGAGATCAAAATAAGTCTGCATTACCTTGACACCAATATCTATTCAAGTAAATGTCAAATGGGTGATTATTCTGTGTCTTTATAAAGGGTGGTGCAAAAGTAGGTTTACAGTTGTTTGTATGGAAAATAATACAGTAATTAATAAGTAATAATACAAGTAAACTCTGCGTTTCTCATATAACTGTAAACCTAGTTTTGCCCCATCCTGTATATTCTTTTTTTCTCTCTTTTTTTTTCTTGTCAACCCTGTATATTCTTTTAAAAATGGATATCATCTAAATAGAAAATATATTATCATCACCTTAGTTGTTTCAGAGGTCTGTAAATAATCTAGTGTATGGAAAATTATCTCAAAAGTCCTCACCAATTTTTGGAACTTAAATGACAAAAAAAGTGAAAGTATTTTGGTTTCAATAACACTTGGAGTGACTGACTGTTGGAAGAAACATTGAATAAAGTCAGTAAGTAGAGAAACATCGGTATGTCCCTAGGTGTGTTCCGTGAGGTGGAATTTCCTCCTGGAAAACAAGCTGTTCAACTGGGCCCAGAAAGCAGTAAATTCCTTCAGAAAAGTATCTGACTAGAGGAGAAACACTCGCCAATCCAATTGCACACTAAACTCTGAAAATATTTGTTAAACAATTCATATTTGCACCGTGTAATATATATGGGAAAGGGTATAGTTAGAAAAAAGTGGTCTTCAAACATGTGTAACAACCTTTGAAATGAACAATTGAATTTAGGAGACCGGGAGGGAGATGGCTAAACCAATTCATAATATTTAGAATCTAGAAGCTGATCTTATTCTTAATTGCATTCTTCACTTTCTGGACACCCAGATTTCTTTGGATTGCAGTATGCATAACGTGCATATAGATGACTCACATAACTCAGAATAATTGTTGCAATTAAAAACTAGTTTTTAAAAAAATCTAATGTGGCACTTTAGAGCTTGGGCTCTCCCAAATTTAACCTACAATTTATGTAGTGATTACTTTTTAAAAAAATCTCCCATTATTTGACTATCTCATAGATTAAGGAAAATATTATTTCAAGTTGAATGGTACCAGGTAGCATACAAAACCCAATTCAGGTATTAGATTGAATGAGTAGTCAGGTTAGACCGGGGAACGTAATAAAGCAAACAGGCCATATGGTTCTGGGGAATCTGGATATTGTACGTACAAAATAAACAAGCAAAAGGACAAAGAGACCCCCCTTGTCCACACTGTTGGAACTGATATAACTGATTAGAAAAGAAGATTTCTGAGAATATTTTAATTCCATCCAGAAAGCTGGGTTGAATTAAATCTCTCTACTATGCATTTATTTAATCTCCCCAATTTGCAGTGGTGAATGTATTGAGTGGAGCAGGCTTGGAGGTGTTAATTATTCCCTAAACAGTTTAAGTTAGTTTGCATAGTTGCTGCCAAAACATTTACAGCTAGATTCCATAATTCATAGTATTCCTAATTTCCTATAAGGATGCCATGCCTCACCAGGCAGTAGGAAATGGCAAGACCTCTTTTACTTCTGCAGGGTTGAAAAACAATGTGGAACCTCTGGATGTCTTTACTGCCACCTACATAAAGCCAAGAATGCATTCTATTTCAGTTTAAACCATGTGATGGTTGTGAAATGAATTTGAGAGATGGCTTCAACTGCATGCTTCAGTAAAAACATGGTTAATTGTTTCTTTTCAAAATGTTTTCCATTGGACTACATAAATATTAAAGTTCAATTATAGCAGTTCTACCAACATTCAGGTATCTGTGGTATTATGTTTAATAACACTCAAAGTAGTTTATGTGATAATATAATAATTAATGATCTCTTGCTCTGTTGAACTTTCTGCTTGATTAACATTTAGCCAGGAATGGGGAGGAGACCAAGAAGATGGTTTTCCATTTATATCTTGCAATACAATATTTTCAATATGGATTAGCTCACATTCCTGCTTAGTATGTTGAGTAGACTGACCTAATTGTATCTTTCTTTGATAATTCATGAAATTGATAATGCAATTCTCATTTTAACTGCATATACTGCAATTTAGTATATATTGGAATTTTCTGATTCTGGAGTTGGTGTTATGTGCCTTTAAAGTTTTTTTTTTTTTCTGGTCTTCTCTTCAGCTCCTTAAATCCTTATTAGCAAGTTGAGACTAAAGTGCTTCCCACCTGGAAGGTAATTCTCCATTCCCTGAGAAGACCAGATAGAAATGAGAAGCAAAACGCAGA